GCATCAAAGGGGTGTTGATTAAACCTTGCTCTGGTTGAGGTCAGTGAGGAACATGGAGTGGGTTTTTAAGGAACCCCAGGAAGCAGGTGCTCTGCTGCAGTGCTATCCTCTCCCTTGAGACAGAACAGTACTTGTGCAGACTGGGTGAACATAATCCAAGTGTTCATGGGCTGCCTCCACAGTCATAGTGCAATGTTGATAGCAGTGCTGTGATTCCATAAACACAGAGCCATAGAATTGTAGAATCATTAAGGTGGAAAAGATTGCCAAGATCATCTAGTCCACCTGTCCATCTACTACCAGTATAACCCATTAAACCAAGTCCCTAAGTACACATCTCCACATTTCTTGAACACCCCCAAGGACAGTGATTCCACCACGTCTCTGGGCAGCCTGTGCTCCCCACAACCTCCTTTTGTGGAGCTGGAAAGAGCAAAATCTATTTTAATTGACTTTGATAGACTTTGAACTCTCAAATCTAAACACTAACATTAGTAAACATCCTGAGTCATATTCTCTAGGAGGAAATCTTTGCCATATGTAGGTTTTGGTGCAGTTAAGGGCTTTTATCCCATCTGAAGATCTGGCTCAGTAATTGTGCAGAACATTAAAAAGAAACCCGTGAGTGCTGTAAAAAAGGGAAACTGTTACTCTGGGAGTGTGTTGGTTAGGTATTTCTGCACTCATAATTAACATTCTCTTCCTAAACTGTAGCACAAACTACTTGCAGAATGGGCTTTTTCTTTTATTGCTGCTTGTTTCGCTAACTAAATTTATTAAGTCATTGGGTTTGCGTGTGAATGTGTATATTTGCTATTATATTCTGGGTTATAATAAAAGGAGATACTCAGGGAAAAAAAAAAAAGAGCTGCTGCTTTGTTGGACTGTGACACCATTGGGATGGCACGTTTTGAAGGAGCTGAGATATCCAAGGGTAGCTGTGCATTCCCAGAACACCCTCTGCTTCCTGCAGGGTTTGTGCCTGGAAGTCCACATTTCCATCTGCAGGTGGAAGGAGACACTGCTGGGGTCAAGGATAAATTAAACATCGGTTTAATTAATTAATTAATATGTTTAATTAATTAATAACATTTTTCTAAAACAGGAATAGCTGTTGGGGCAAACCATGGTACCTTACACCCTCTCTGAGCATATCTGTTGCACTAAGAACAAAAATCAAAATGCCAGTTATATCCATTCAGCTACTTTCTGTGTTTCAAAGTGTCATTGAATGCGGTCTCCCTGATTTTGAATGTGATAGATGCCATTTTACTTTTTTTTCCTAAACTGTGAAATTTCCAATCAAGCTAGAGTTAGCACAAACGAGGTCTGTGTTTGTTTTTCAAAGCAAGTCTAATTACTCTGTCTTAGTGGAATTGCCTCTTGTACAAGCGTTTGGATTGAGGTACAGAAAGCAAGTTGCAGGCAAATGCTATTCATTTTGCCTGTATATTGCTAACATTTCTTGTGTAAATATTTCATGCAAGTTTTTAGTTTAACAATTAAAAAAAAAAAAAGATCTCTTTCAAATCACTTCCAGCAGTATCTGTTGATATTTAACAAAATGTCTCAGTCTCATAATCTCCAAACAGTGAAAAAATAAATGTATTATTTACTTTCTACCCCAAAAATAATTTAGTCAAGAATACTATACCTATACCATTATTTCTGGAGGAGGTTGTAGAGGGACAGCCTAAGGGTCCCTTTGCTGCTTATACCCTTTGCTAGATGGGTTTCCCCATCTAGCACATTTAATTAACACTGAAATAATCTTAAAAACCAAAACAAACATAAAGATCTGGACAATAATTCAGTGGTTTTTCCAAACGACCTTCAGTTATCTCTGATTTCAGCCCATGCAGCGGTTCCTGCTCAGAAGTGTTAGTGGGAAGTCTGTCCTGTTCATCTACACTCTGCTTTCTTCCAAGCTCTTCTCAGCTCAAGATAACTGAACCAGCAGTTCCCACCTGATTTGACATAATTGCCACAATTAATTTTGACAGTAAAGCTTGTGGATAGGTTCTGCCATTAATATCCCGAGATCCTTTCATTATGGGGAGACACAAAGTAAGAGATATGGGCAGGAACCAAGTGACATGACGTAGCCATGCCTTGTAAATTTCAGAGGCTAGACATTGGCCACCAAGGAGGTATCAGTGAAGAAAAACATAAGGATGCATGCGATGTCCCCTTGGCAGAGTGCCCTGAATGCTGCTTGTCTGCCCCATCTCTTTTCTGTGAAGACCATAGGGGTTGTCAGTAAGGCAGTACAAGGAATTGCACCATAGCGTGTGTTTGTCCCTGCGTGGCACAGTGGAACACCACCTGTTGCTAACGGGGTGTCATATGTAATAAGAAAAATAATAGTAGTGAATACAAACGGTGTCATTTAACTAGAACTCTGCTGGGTTTTCTCAAACCTACCTAATGGAGAGAACTGTGTTTTGATGGCGTTGCCATATTTCAGCTAATTTATAGGGGGTGAAGAAGCAACCAGCCAAATCACAGAAACAATCAAAAAGGTTTATTTGCTGGTGTCATTTCAGGGGAGATTAAACACACGATGAAAATCGCAATTTCTGCTTTATTTTTTATGTCTTTGTTAAAAATGTCCACTTCAAAAATAACATAATTTTGCTTCTTTAATGGTACATTAATGGCAATAGGTCAAGAAGGAATGGCCTCAAGTTGTGCCAGGGAAATTAAGAAAAGGATATTAAGAAAAATTTCTGCTCTGTAAGAGTGGTGGTGCACTGGCAGAAGCTGCCCAGGGAGATGGTGAAGTCACCATCCCTAGAGGTGTTCGAAAACCATGGAGATGTGGTACTGAGGGACGTGAGCAGTGGGCAGTATTGGTGGTAGGCAGATGGTTGAACTGGATGATCTTAGAGATCTTTTCCAACCTTCACAATTCTGTGATTCTCTGATTCTAAGTGGATTGTGGCATGATGTGATTTCATGAACTACTGCTGTATGTCAGAAAATATTATTATATAATATATAATTATATATATATAAAATTAAAACAACATTGAAAATCCAAACATATCATAGGTCACTTGAGTTGGAAGGAACCCTTTAAAAGTTGTCTAGTGCAACTCCTGTGATTGGCAAATTTCATGTTCTGGGGAAGTCAGCGGTTACCTCTCCCCAAGTAAAAACTTTCCAGTTCAGATAAGGAGAATTTTTGTTAAAACATTTATACTGGTGAGGCAGCCTGGGTGTGGTAAAGGGCCCAACCTGGTTGCAGGGATGCTCCCATCCATTGTAGGGTTTGCTGCCTGGCTGGTCCGGATGAAAGCCATGTGGGCTGGGCGTTGGCTCTGGGTTAGCACATCTGCAGCCAGGCACAGCCTGCAGATAAAGAGCAGATTTGAAGAATGCTTAGACAATGATTTTCTGGAAAACTACTTTAAGCACTGTGTTATAGTGCTCTAAGTCATTGACATCTCTCTCAACTTGTTTCACTCCCTCTTCCTAAAATATTTCTCCAGCAAGGAAGACTCCCTTAGACGGGGCAAAAGAACTCATTGGGCTGAAAGTGCTTTTATGCACATGGTGCTGATTGATGCAAGCTTCACAAGTGCAGCACAGCTCTGTGCTTTCTACTCTGCTTTATCTTTGGTGGTTTCAAGCCTGCCTGGCTCTGCAGGTCTGCTGCACACGGGATTTATTGTCAGGCCAACAACACTTTATATAACCCCTGGAGCACTGGGGAATACATGCCTGAATGTTGCTGAATGTTCAAAGTATTCACTCTTAAAATGAGGTCTGCAGTAAATGTGTGGCATTACTCCAGATGCTTTGCTCAGATGTTGGTCTTTTGTGGGTTTTCCATTAGGGAGGATAGAGAGCTCCAAAAACTCTGAGTAGCAGTGGCCTGGGAGGGAGCACTGCTGTCCTGGAGCAGCACTGCCTTCATCGTGGGCCTCCAAGATGCTTTGCCTGGGTTGTGCAAGATGATACATATATTAGCTTTAGAAAAGCTAATTCATCACAGTTTGAGGGGCTTTTGTGTAATTTTGGCTTTCTTTGTTTGTTTATTTGGTTGGCTGTGGGTTTTCTTGCAAAAAATATCATCATTTTAAGAAACCCAATGGAAGCATTTGCTTGACTAGGATGAATTTTCATTTAAGTCTGGGAAAAAGAACCCACCTCAGTCCAGTAACCGATGTCTGTCTCATTGAAGGGTTGGGAGCCTGCTGGCAGAGTCCCATGGGCAGCCAGCTCTTTTCAAAGAGACTTAATATTATTTCCCTGTTGTAAAAACCTTGAGAAGTTTGCAGGACACAGCAAGGTACCAGGCCAGTTCTCTGTGTCTGAGTTTACATCTTTATCAAAAGATTTTCAAGTTTTGTGCCAGCATTTCCTTCTGCCTTTTTTGAAAACAAGTAAATTTGTTACTTGGATTTTGTACTCCCATTTCTCTGTATCCACTTACCTGATCCTGACAAGCTGCCTTTTGCCTGGAAGTATTTATAGAAGGTTAGGTGTTTTAGGCTCTGTACATTGCATGTTTCTTGCCTATCATGCAAAAGGCAAGAGCAAAACCAGTGGGATGCCCTGGGAGCAGCAGTGAGCAGCAAGGCTGTTTCTTTGCTTCCCAGCTCTGTTTTTTTTCTTGCGTAGTACTTCAGTCCAAGTCCTTGTAGCTGAGACCTGGGAGAACATAAACACTTCACAGTAAGTCACACAAACAAGGGCATTGGGATTGAGAGCTTGCTGGGACACAAATTCTTGACTTCTCCATGTTTTTCAAGCCTATTCACTGTGGGTGGTTTTGTAAACCACACCTCTGCCCTGTCAGGGAAACAAAGCCTTCTTTTTTAGTGGGGAGTTTTCTGGATGAGTACTGTTGCTGATGCCTGTTGTTTTCTATTGTTAAACTGCAATGCGTGACTATCGTGTATCACTCAGTGATGCCTAATTTAGGAAATCAGTGATTAATTCTTTCCACCGCTTTTTCTTCTCTCTCTGTCTCTTTCTCTCTTTCACTGCAGGATGTTTTCACACCAGAGTGCAAATTTAAGGAATCTGTCTTTGAAAACTACTATGTTATTTATTCTTCCACGCTGTACCGGCAGCAAGAATCCGGACGAGCGTGGTTCCTGGGACTCAATAAAGAAGGTCAAATTATGAAGGGAAACCGGGTGAAAAAAACCAAACCCTCATCACATTTTGTACCCAAACCCATTGAAGGTATGGAATCTCTCCCTCCATCCGTATGGTGTGGAGGGTGGGTGAGTTGGCAGGTGCAGATTTGGGGCTGCATGGATTGGGGTGTTGGGGAGCACTTTTGGAGTGCTGGGCTGCACTGCTGGCATTTCATTCATTTTCCATCTCATGTAAAAAACTCTGCACGTTATCACAGCCTGAGACTTTGGTGGAAGTAGTGGAGTTGAATTTTTGCCCGTTTACTGACAGTACCATGCTGAGGTGTGCCATGGGCTCGTGCCATGTTATTTTTTATGGGCTGGCATCTGGTAGATGAAGAAATGTACTGTAACAAGCTTAGTCCTTATCAGGTACTAACTTATTTTGGAAACAAGCAATTGTCCCTTTTCTGTTACTAGTAAATTCAAGAGAAATTCAGCTCTGCATTCACAGGTATTTGCAGCCTTTGCACAGAAGATGGAGGTGTTGGAAGAACAGAGAATGCCACAGGTGTGCTTCTCCTGTGCTTGTTCTCAGTGACTTTTCTGCAGTTGGGAGCCAATTGGAGGCACCAGCAGGGCTGGCTTCCTCAACTTTGGTTTCTGCTGAAGACCAGGGCCTGCTTCAGCAGGAGCTTGGGTTCCATTCCTCTCCTGCCTTGGCCAGGAAGAGGCTTTTACAGGTGCTAGCTGTCCCAGCTGGGTTTCCAGCTTCTTCTGATATCTCTTTGCTACCTGGCTGGCTGTTTGCACTGAGCAGAGCCTTGGAATTCAGATTTCTTCCCCAGTGCAGCATGTGTGGTGTCTGTTGAATGGCTCAGTAGTTGTCTTCTGCATGCGTTAAAGTAGGCCATTCCTGCGGCTCTCCTCACAGCAGGATTCACCATAACAGAGGTGCCTGGCTGCAGCGGAGTTCTCATTGCAGCAAGTGCTGCTCCAGCTTTCATTTTGAAAAACCAGACCCAGCCCGAGAGCTTCCCTTTCCTGCACTTGCCTCCTCCCACGCTCGCTTCAATCACAGCTGTCACATAACCTCCTGAGCGAGTGAACGCTTTGGAAGCTGGCAGCCAAATGAAGGGCTCCTCCACCCCTTCCCTCCTCCACACGCTTTGCAGGCAGCCTCTGCTGCATCAAAGAGCTGGCAGCTGCCCAAGCCCGGGCACGTGTCAGCTTCCCAAAGCGTTCAGCTGTCTGGGACTATGGCTCCAGACGGAGGGCTCTGTTCCCAAGCCCAAGATTCATTGTTGGTAGCAGAGGGCTGGAGTAAAACGTGCTCAGCTCCACGTGACTTGTCTGTGCTGCATCCATCAAAGTCTCCGCGAGCAGAGCTTCCAAGTGGAGATGTGAGAGAAAAGGGGCAACTTCTGCCCTGTTTTAACAGCATCTTTCTCTTTGACGTGACTGGAAGGAACGATTGAAAGCACTTTCCTGCTGTATTTGCATGTCCCTTCTGCTGAGCACTGCAGCGTGCCCCAGCGTGTGTGCTTTGCTGCTTTTTCAGGCTGGTGCTGTGCTGCTTCCATCTGCAGTAAGTACACGGGTTTGCTTTTGCTCGGGTCCCACCGCCAGCATTAACACTGTGACACAGTGTTGACACGGTGATGTATGCACAGAGGATTCGTGTCCTATGGAAAGGAGTGGTGTCGCATGCAGTGCTAGGAATCACTTCACCCACCACTTCAATGGCAATTATCTCTGAGCTGAAACTTCCCAGCTGATTGCTATGCGCAGAAAAATTATGCAGCAGCTCAGTGAAGGGAACATTTGCAGGAAAAGGAATCACAGAAAAGCCCAGATTGCTCCTGGAGCATTGACTCCTGTTGCTTCATACTGCTTTCTGAATTCGGAATCTCTTTCTTTTCTCAGAATTGCAAAGGGCCAATAAGCTAATGAATAAGTATGAAATGTCCTCCCAAGGAACTTATATATATAATATATATATTTATTATATAATAATAAATATATATGTATAATATATATTATAAAAATGTATGTATGTATATACGTATATACACAGTTCTGTCTGGGTGTGCATTCATATGTAGAGTTCTATGCTGTGCTAATCCTCGAGAGAGCTTTGTCTTTTGTAGGTTGTCAGATGCTGCGGCTGTTCTGTGCAAAGCCACTGGAAAGGTTTCTGCATTTGGTTTGTACAAGGGGTTAGGTTTGGTCTAGTGGAGGTAGGATGTGCTTGTTTGTTTTTGAAAATCGCACCAAGCTTAATCAATATAAAAGCACAAAAAAATGCAGTGAGTAATAATGGGAAACGTTCAGTTCTTCTCCCATCTGTGTGCTGGCAAAGCCAAGGCAAACAGCCTGCCTGTCAGCAGTTAATGTACTGTGTGAGGCCACTCTTGGGTAAAAACACACATACGCAACACATTTCTTTTGATATTTTGATATTCTGATCGCTGATCATTTGGGCTAAATGAGCCTTTAAAGTGCAGACATATAGATTGAACCAGACTGCACAAGAAATTAGCTTGGGTATAATTGTCACTTGGACACTGAGCAATCTTTTACAGCAGTTTCAATCTCCTTAAGTGTCTGCATTGATTAGTACTGGACAAACACTTCCATCTATGGTGCCTCTTGTTTTTTCCATCTAACTAATGCGAGACTCTTCCAGTCCCTTAAGTAAAAATTCTATCAGATGCTTTTTGTGAATGTGCTCTGCTGTTTTTAGTTCCTTCTCCTTGAAGACATCATCTCCAGCCTATTCTACCAAAAGAGCTCCATGCCAGCTCTCACTGGCCCAATCCCCCATGTATATGGTGTGGCACATCTGGCCCTTTTTCTTTCTGGGCTGCCCCTGACTCCAGACTCCTGGTGCCTCAGCCCTTGGGCCTTGGACATACATCAGTTGTTAGGAACATGACGTGTTGATGACTGGCCTACCACTCTACCAGTCTGTGTTAAACACAGCTCCTCTTTTGTACCTGTCTTTCAGGTAGACAGGCTTTGGTATGTTCTCTGCCCTATACTAACTCATTTGTTCATCTATCAGACTGCTAATCATTTTATTAGACAGCAAATGCGCTGTATTTTAACCATGCTTTTGCTTGGCCATTCGTCATCCTGCACTGCCTCTCACCTGAATGCACTGACTCCATCTGGCAGCATCCTGCATGTCCAGCTGCCAGGCAGCCGCCAGCTCAGACAGCTCTGAAATGCATCAGCTGGGCCTGGGGTAGGAACACAGTAATTAGAGGCAGAAAACAAGAGTGCATAATCACTTGCTCCCTCCTTCCCCTAGCTGTTGCTCAGATAATTAATTCTCTCCACCAGAGCATCAGCTAATGTGGCCGCTGCTGCAGCAGCACTCAGAGCTGTGGCCAGCCCTGCCTCCTGCTTGGAAAAACCTAAGCTCCTCCAAACTCATGAGCCCTAGGGCAGGGAAAGCCATCTACATGGAGGTACCTAAGCCCCTTTAATAAGCTTTTCCTTGCATTCTAGAGAAGGGCAGTAAGGAGTGCGTAGATACCTCCAAACCTCTTCCTGTTGCAGCGATCCCAAGTGAAGCATGCAGGGTTTGGGGCACATTATGTGCTTCCTGAGCACTGCTAGTCCCTGTGCACAGGGAGACAGCACAGGGTGCATTCAGCTTCCCTGAAGGGTGGTGTGCTGATGCTGTGCTCAGAAAGCAGCAGTGAGGCATCGATCCTGTATCAGCGTAAAGGAGAGAGGATCACCTGTGCCTGGGTGACAGCAGCCCCATCATGCTTTCAGTCTTTGGAGAGGATGCTCCCCACCTTGTTTGGCCCCCCCCAGACCTCTCCCTACCTACCTGCTTGCAGAATTCTTTGTGCATGCAGAGCAACCTGCACCAAGAACTGCAGGCACCAGGCAGGGCACAGCCCCGCTCCCACTCTCCCCATTCCACACAGCAGATCAGGCTCACAGCGCTTCCCAATTAAAGCATGAATATGGATGTGTTGATTAGAATCTGGGACATAGGAGCTGATTATCTGATTGAAGCTCCAAAGCATTTGCTGGGTTTGCAGACATGAAGGGCTGTATTTGGTTTGGTGTGTGGGTGGGGGTGGGTGGGAGAAGCAGGAGGAGAGCCTGTTCTCACCAAATTGCTCATCCTTCCCAAGCTGCCTGGTGCTTCTCTGCACACAGCCTTACTCTGTCCTTACAACCCCATGCACACACAAATACCCAGGCAATATTTAGTGCCGTACAAATTCTGCATACCCCTCTGATATGGGTGTATCTAAATACTGAAAATACACAGGTCTCATGCTGCTGTAGGTTTTCTGGCATGGTTTGTTGGCACAGCCTGTCTCGTACTGAGGCTTTGACAGCACTGTCTGAAAAGCACACTGAGCAGCCTCCAGCCCTACCCCCTGTCAGTGCTCATATCATAGCATCTGCTGGAGTGGAGGATTAACCTCTAATTCCTGCCTTATTTGCTTGCTAGGTACAGGGTTTCCTTAATTTTCAGTTGCACAGTGTTTACTTCTGCAGCCTGATTTGTATTCGTGACTCTGTGGCCAGTGATGATGCAAAAACCTAGACTGTGCCTTGAATTTTTCTGTGTTTCCTTGTCTGTCCTTCTGGACATTGAATTCATCTCCCATTGCCCAGCTGAATACTGAGGCTGGAAGCTGGGGGTTGAGTTTAATGCACACAGCTGCTTGGGAAGGACCCAGGCAAATGCCTATGGCTTGAGAACTTTGTGTATAGCAGAGAACAGGTGCACCAGCAGCACAAACCCACATTTCTGATGGGAGAGCATCACATCAGAAAATGAGGTCAGTCTCAGGAGTGATGTGCATCCTGAGGGTCATCAAAAGACCGTGCGACACAGGAACACGAGCACAGGTTTTCCTCCATTGCTAACCTTCATCGTGCTGTTCTTTAAGCTTTCTCTGTCCAGTGTTAGGCCCCTTGGGCTGCACTGTGGGCAGACATAAGACTGTTGTGACGGTGGCACTTTGGCACACCAGGAAAAGTTGAGGACAAGTGCCATGGTGTGAGGGGCAGCTCTACAGCTACGAGACCAGTGTGCTGCATGCTGTCCTTGCAGCATTCAGATAGCAGGGTTCCAGGCAGCCCTGCCATTGCTCATTCTGGCCCAAATGCAGTGGATAAGTTACATATATTCTTTCTATTTTTTCTCACATTCATCAAATAGCAGTGCTGCAGTGACAGTTTGCAGTGCAGGCCCTGCCTGCCAGATGCATTGTGAGGTCCAGTGTGTGTTTGTGGGTATGTCTGAACTGCTCTGAAAGCTTTGTGTGAAAGATACTCTATGAGAAACATCATATTTTTTCACTGTTCATATATTCAATGAGATATCCCTCCCATTAATACACAGCTGACTGCACTTTATCTCTGTCCTATATTGTTGCACACTGCTATCACTGTTGATCTAGCGAGGAGTAGAATGCAGGGCAATAATGTCATTTGTAGCCTGCCTTTAATTGCCAGAATTTATTTGCAAATCAGGGAGGTTATAAACATTATAAATATTAAAATATAAATTTTCCTATATGTAGGGTATTTGTTTCATCTATTCTGATAATTTTTGAAATTTTCCTTTTGTTGAGCACCCAGAACTGAAACCCGATGGCTCTGTCCTCATCCTATGGTTCTACAGTGTAAAGCAGTGCATAATCAGTTCTTTCCATCCTAATTTTTGCAAAAATGCAGGTAGGAGAGTTAAAGGCTGGGCCTGTCTCAAGCTCTCAACTTCAGAGTATGTGCCCTTGGAGTGCCCCGGTATTTCCATCCCTTTCACAGCTCACCACAGTTATGGAGAGCTCCACAGAGCTGTTCCTTTTGGTGTTACCCACTGGGCTGTCCTCAGGCCATCAAGGTGTGCTAGCTCAGGGCAAGCACTGGCACACCTTGGTAACACAAGGACAGCCACTTGGACACGGGCCCCCTACATTTGCCTTGGCTGCTGACTGAGAGGGGAGAAATAGTGCTAAGAACAGACCTCAGGCTTTGGCTGAAGGCACCAAATGGGCTCCAGTCACCACTTCAGGACCCAGAGCTTCACACCCAGAATGTTTGGGTGGCTCAGAGGCAAACATAGCTTTGATTCAAGACCATCAGAGTCTTCACATCAGAGATTAAGGACTGGGGAACAGGTAATCCTCAAATCTGCTATTGGCTGATAAAAGCATCTCGAGACAGTGCCTGGTGCTGTGAACTGGAATGCTTATTTTATGTATATAATATATTAAAAAATAGTAAAGCATAGAAAGCCTAGACTGATTTACCTATGGAGAAGCAGAAGTCCCTCGTTTCTGTCTGTGCCTCTGGAAGGATCTGGCTGGCAGCAAAGGCAAATAGCAGATCTTGCTTGGTAAGAGGATCTTCCACTGGGTCACTGAAGCTTTTCTATGTCTGCATTTATGTTGTATCGAGGTGAGGACTTCAGTCTCGCGTACAGATAACTCATGGTGGTCAGTGATGCTGTGACTTCAGGGCTGCTAACGGGTGTCTTTTCTGTTTGCAGTGTGCATGTACAGAGAGCCATCGCTGCATGAAATTGGAGAAAAACAAGGACGCTCTAGAAAAAGTTCAGGGACACCAACCATGAACGGAGGCAAAGTCGTTAACCAAGACTCAACATAGCTGACAAACACCCTCCCTCCCTCCAGCTCCTCCCCTCCCACCCACCTTCCCACCCCACCCGGCGAACCCACACTGAGAGGACGACAGCTGAGCAAGGCAGGACCTACGGTAGTGGCTAGGAGCCCGAACTCCAGGAGCTTCCTTTATGTAGGACGAGGAAACCGAGCCCCAGATCTTGCCTGTTGCAACGTTTTAAAAAACAAAATAAAAAACACACACACACGCAAAAAAAAAAAAAAAAAAAAAGAGTGAAGAAAAAAAATGTTTTAAATCAGGACTTCCATTAACATTTTCAAAGCAAACTGTTTGCTCCGTGATCAAAGGGGGAAAAAAAGAAAAAAAGATCTCATCTCTGCATAATAATAATAATAATAACAACAACTAATAAATACAATAATACTAAATAAAGATGTTACCTTTAAAAAAAATAAAACAAAGCTTTTGGAAAATCGAACTTAGCAATGATGATGTGTGAGAAACGCAGGCTGGGACTGTGCTTTCTGCCTTATGCTTCCGCCTCACGTTCACAGCACTGGGTTTGCCATCCTCGCTTCCCTGGGGATGGATGGGATTTTTCACACAGCAGGAAAGGTAGGGACGGATTATGACTGTGTTTGCTCTGCTATCAATAAAATATGGCCTGTCCGAATTAGGAGTCTGACAGTTATGGGCAACAAACGAGCTGCTCTGTATTCAGCTTTTTCCATCTATATTCAGACACTGCGTAGTTATTTGTTGCCAGTGTCACTGCGTGGATATGTTTGACCCAAGTCTGGCATTTTATGCCTTTTTATCATAATTATTTATATTTATAGGCTTGTTTTACTGTATTAGTTGCCAGAGGAGTTTCAGAAATGGGTTTTCAGGTCTCGCAGGATGAAATTATGATATTTATTAGGGGAGAGCGAGAAGATAAAGGGAAGGAAGGATGGCTGCTTGCTTTAGAAACTAAAATGGAGGCAGTAACACTGCTAAGTCCCTGCTGTCAGCAGTGACAAGGCACTGCTGGGGGGGTGGCAGTAGTGGTTCCTTGTGAGCCTGGCTCAGGCACCAAGAATAAATGCCCTTGGCTTCCCTAGATGGCACAACACTGCCCTGGCTGGGTGCTGAGAGGGTTTTGGTGTTAGGCCAAAAAAAAGGGCTTTGGTTAAATCTGTTGGAGGGAAAAGCAAAGCCAATAAGCAAATACCCAAGGGCTTGAACAGGGGCAGTGGATGGAATGGCCCATTACACAAGTGAAAATAGCCCAAAGCATTGCTATTTTAAGCCAGGGAGGTTTGTTTCCTTTCATAAAATTATGGGCATACATAAAAAAATGCACAAAATAGCACTATAATTCTTGGGTCTGCTTTGTTGTCATAGCCATTCCATACCAGAGCTGCTATGGGAGATGATGAGCAACCCAGCTGCTGGCTGGGCAAGCAGCTGTATAGGCACCAAGAGGGGAAATGCTAAGAGTATGGAAGACTCTCAGGATCAGCATGAAGGAATGCATTTCAAGCATGTTTTCAAAAAGCTTGAAATAAAGAACCCTTATGCCATGGCACTGCTGCCCAGCACTGCGCTCACATACAGGCAGCCTGCCTGTGGGCCAACAGCAAAGCATCAGCAACACCAGCCCAATGCTAACTTTAAAATCACACACTGGAGCTCAGCGGTGAGGCCTTCTGGTATGAGTTGGGGAGCTCCCAGTCCCACAACACTAGGGCAAAATCACAAACAGATGTGTAGTGAGCCAAAGCCCAGCCCTATCTGGGCTCATGGCCCAGCTTCGTCTCACACTACAGGGATCTCCCAAAATTAGGCAGTGGTGGGTTGGGGGTTGGCTGCTTACTCACACGTGTGATGGACATCCAAAGACATGGAGCCTAAAGACCATCAATGCAGAGCTAGCAGTTCCACGACCTAACCAAGCCACCAATGCCCCGGTCACAATTTGGACCTTCCTGCCCCAGCCCTGGAGCTCACACTTCATGGAGCACAGCAGGATCTGTGGGCTGTGTGCAACAGCAGATCCAGTGGGATTAAGTGCTAATTTTTCTACTGTGCGTCTCACACTGGGTCTTTACCCAGTACCAATTTTCATTTGCCAAGTCAGTGCTGTAGTGAGCCCCTGGAAATGCCACGCTCAGACCAATATGTCAAAAGAATCTGCTTCAATCCATTGTGTTTGAGCTAATCACCTCACGTGACACTCACTGGCTGGCCCATAACAAGAACTAATTAGTGCTGCTCGCAACCAGGGTTTACATTACCTCAGAGGGAACAGAGAGCAGCTCTTCTGCCATGTGCTGTATGTGCTGGCTTTCCTTGCTGCCTACTTGGCCTTAGCAAACCATCAGCCACTTATGGTGCCATGAGGCACAACAAAAGCCTCTCACACACCTTAAGAAACTCTGTACACCTCCTAACCTGTGTGGCAGATGGAAAAAATCAGCTCATGGTGGAACATTAGGACAGCCCCAAAAACACTGTGGTTACACAGCCAGCTCCACACTGGGAGCTGCTTAGCTCCAAGTGCCCCAAAATTCATCACACACCTGAGAAAGCCCAGAAAGACCTTAAGCTTGTTGGTACAAAGGCCTCCATTGATTTAAACTCCCTGCCCCTCTCTCAGTGAAGTGCTGTGGGTTAAGTTGGTTACCCATCGGGAAAGACTTTACAGAGATCTTTCCTGCTTTGAGGCTCTTACACTCTCTTCACTGTTTCCCACTGTTATTTGACAGTGTCAAAGTCCTAATGAGTGACATTTCTTTTTTTCTTTCTCTATCCACACACACCACAACCCTTTACAGAGCTCCGAGACTCAGTTTAACACACTAGCAGCTACAATCCTTGCCTATGTGCGGTACTAGGAGGACAGTTTCCCTTCCCAGCTATGGTAGCATGCCACTGGGAGAACATCTAGTACACAGAATGGCCAACAAATGTAAATTGTTTAAGCAAGCTATTGTTCATCTCACCTGGCCTCCAGCAACTGTTAACTCTGCTATGTTTTTGCTCTCAAAGTAACACATACTGCCACGATTTCTGAATGAATGGAAGAACTTGGATATTCTGTCCAGCAGCAGAAAGCACTCAATAGCACAAAAATATCATTACATTTAGAGGGTTCATATGCTCCATCCTTGACAGTGCTGGACTGCTCTGCCAGTACATGCTATGCAACAAGGCTCCTCTCACCTATACAACAAGAGCAAAGCCTGATGACTGCAGGTTGTAAATCAGGGATTTCGTGGGAAAGAAATGCAGAAAAAGACACCAGCACAAAAGACATGGCACACTGTGCCAGCAAGGCATGCCACAAGTGTCAGCACTGGCATGTGACAACGTGCTGTGAAGTGAAGCTGACACTCGACAAAGCAACTTATGAAAGTTGTCTATCAACACTATTTTTTTTGTGTGTGTGCTCAGATCGGGTCTGGCTACTGGAGCCCACGCAATCCTTCAAGCTGTCACGGGCCTCAATTTGCACCTTTACACCCTTAAACTGCACTGATGGCGCACCGTAAGCATGGACTCCCCAAAAAGCCAAATCATCCACATCTCAGCAAAGCTGAAGTGAGCAGCGGTGTGAGCTCCCTGCCCTCATTGGAGATAACAGGAAACGAAATGTGCCATCTTTCCTGGTTTCACGCCAGCAAAGCTGAGACATGGATGTGTGGCAGACATTAAAAAACTGTCTTTGAGGGCTGCAGTGCCAAAAAACGAAGGCGCAGAGCTATCATCAGTTGTAGCAAACAATCAAACTTTCTTATTAGCATGCACTCAAAGACGTTACCTTTAATATGTGGACATCGATGATAGAAGGACTTGGTACCAAAACGTAGCCAACCTTGGGCCTCCAACCACGGTAACACAGATTTTAGGTCTCAGTCCGTATGTCAGCTTGAATCAAGGAAAATAAAGACAATGAGGAAAGTCACAGGTGAATATCTTTAGGGCCAGATTCCTCTCAACAGTGGAACAAGATGTTTAGTTGCTGCTGTGGGATGACCTACTGCAAGTACCTAGAAGCAAAATCAAATAAAACACCACAATATTTCCTCAGTGAAACAGTCTCGTTTCCATGGTATTCACATCTTTGTCTCCCACAGCCAACATTTCAACCTTCAAGGTGATGGAAGGCCATTTCCTTGGAATATGAAGCAGCAAAGTTTACATCCTCCTCACCAGCATGGAGTAATACTGAAGAATTATCATGGCACCAACAAGTTTTGCCATGTTCTTATACACCTTGATTAAGGACAATAAAATCCTACAAGCCAGATCATAACAATTTTAACATCTTGTTAAAGCACCTTAAAACCGCTCAAACCTTCATGGCCACAAAGTAAAAGCAAAGTAATCACCATTTCACAACAGAGCATTCCAATACTTAAATAACTGATTGCATGCACTGAAAGCTGGATGCCTTCCCAGCCTGCTGCCCTCGTGGACCCTGGGCACCTTGTCTTTCACAAAAGAGATGTAGGTCACCATGGTTCCAGGGATCAGTTCAGCAGTACTAATCATTGTGATGGTACAAGGAGCTCACATAAGAACCAGGGTATCCCTACCGGAGGCAGTTGGAGGATTTGGTCTTCCACAGTGGTCTGGAAAGGGCAGGAGCTCTGGTCAAACAGCTGCTTTAAAAAGGAGAAGATAGGATGCTTCTGGTACAGGCATGGAGATAATTCATCTTTGGGAAATGCCATTAATGTTTACGGAGCAATACAAATGGATGTGGGCTCTCCAGAGGGGAAGAAAAAAAAAAAAAAAGTATTACCAATTAGAAAAATAAGAAGAGTCTGGGTATGGAATCTGAGCAGAAGCAAAGGATAACCCTCCCAGGAGTCTATTAAGAATGGGTTATATATTGTTCCATTTTCCATGCTCATTACAGTCGCTGGCCCAATAATAACTACATGCTATGCCTTTTTCTATTCTAGTACAATATTCCCCATGGGAACAAAATATCTCAGTTTAAATACTGAACAGAACTGGTAGAAGAAAGCATGTTTCTGTTGTGCTAACCTTGTGTGTTAATCTGCATTTCTGGGAGCTGCTTATTACCCTCCTTCTCATTGCTTGACCCAGAGGACCTCTCCCAGCTCCATGCTTCCTGCATGCAGGGAAAGACAAGAAATGCTGTCCTGGGCCATTCTGCTTCTGAGCAGAATGGTTTGTGCAGATCCCATAGTCAGTACACCAAAATCTGCAACATGGAGATCACAGGATGGCTAGGGTTGGAGGGGACCTTAAAGAT